CGAATTTCGACCTAAAATTTTGTCCATGACGAGGTCTTAAGGGCCACTAGAATACCCTGAAAGTTTCAGACAAAAACGAATGCATCCTTCTTCAGATATTGAATTTTTAAAATCCGACCATTCTGCAGAAAAAATTAGCAAAATGTTGGTATTTTAAAAATTCAATATCTGAAGAAGGATGAATTCGTTTTGTCTGAAATTTTCAGGATATTCTAGTGGCTCTTAGACCTCTTCATAGACAAAATTTCAGATCAAAATTCAATAATTTACTTTTGCAGGTAACCCGGTGCCATAGATAAAAAAATCCAGTAAAACGGTCATAACTCAGCCTCAGCAGCCCAAATCCTCTTAGTGTCAATCTAGTCTCGTAGTCCCCTACCTATGGCCAAAATATCAGCTCAAAAGCGATTGATCAGTTGGGAATGTTTCCTTACAACTGTTATATTTAGTATTAAATAACTTTTAACATCAAAAGTAATTCAGTACTAATAAGAAAAAGTTTCCAAATGATTCATACGGTTTTCAATGATATTTTATTCATATATTGAAAATATTACTATAAGAATATGTGACTTTATGAAGTTTCTCATGAACATTATAATCAATTTTATTGATTTTTGCAAATACACGAACAAATCCATTAATAGAATTTCAATACGAAAATTTGACTGATATTTAGATAATATATGTTTGACATATTTTTCTTTCATTCGATTAGAATTATTACAATCAACATGTGTTACTTTAATAAATTTTTTTCTTTATTTTTTTTTGATAAATCTAAAACAAAAAAAAAAAGGTAATTTAAATCATATTATTTAATTTATTTTAAATTCAATGAAAAAAAAACAAACAAAATACAATTGTGAAGTTTATTAAAGTATTTGCTACGACACTTCAAGTGTGACCACCGTGATATTAAGGTGGCACAAAATTTCAATTAATAAATTCAACGCTGCATAACACAATATTGACGCTGTACAAGATGTGCCTTACTAGTTGTTGTGTCACAACGACGATTAAATCGAGAAATGAGTCTTATACTCAAATAATAGTAAATGAGTTCGTTAAATACCAATTAAATGTTTATATTGATGCTGCAACCGTTGTTCATTGAGATGCTGATCTGAAATAGAAAAATAATCACTGAAAAATGACATATGTACATTTCAAATTTTATTAACAATATATTAAATTCTATCATAAGATTTAATTACGATAAATTAGACTATTCGTTATGTCAAGGATAAAATTAAATGATATAAAATATTCAAATAACAAATGTATTGATCAATTACTTAAAGATTTCATTCAATCAAAGAGTAAAAAAACAAAAACAAAATTAAATTAACTGCTATTCTAATTTTAATTGACAAATAATTAATAAAAATAGAAATCATCTTCATCATCGTTATTTTTTTTGTTGTTGTACCGGATTGGTCAAATCTATGAACTACTGACATCTTCGAGTTTACCTTCATATTTAAGATATTAATGCATTTATATCAATCTTCAATAATTTGAAATAAAAAATTAAAAAAAATATCATTATTCAATTTAAATTTTCTCAAAAACAAAAATTAATATTAAACATCTAATCCAATGTTTATCCATAAAAATCCATATTTTTTTCAGTGAGGGTCAACAGTAATCATCAGTATCCACTTGCTTTTGAATTTAAGTTAAAATCAACTAAGACTTGTTAAAATGGTTTGTTTAATTATATCTTTCTTTTTTTGTTATTTCAATCTTTTCATTTATTTAATTTATTCTTAGGCCGCTTCGCGACCTCTTGTAAGTGTGTACGATGAAAAAGGACAATCAACAGGACATTCAGTCGTTTTACCAGCCGTTTTTCGTGCTCCAATTCGTACTGATATTGTTAATTTCGTTCATGATCAAATGAGACGTAATAAACGTCAAGCTCATGCTGTTAGTGATAAAGCTGGTATGAAAGATTTATTTGTATTTCTATTCAAACGTATTTTGTTGATTAGGTGAACAAACATCTGCTGAATCATGGGGTACTGGTCGTGCTGTAGCTCGTATTCCACGTGTACGTGGTGGTGGTACACATCGATCTGGTCAAGGTGCATTTGGTAATATGTGTCGTGGTGGTCGAATGTATGCACCATTAAAAGTATGGCGTAAATGGCATAGAAAAATTAATTTAAAACAACGACGTTATGCAATTGTTAGTGCTATAGCTGCATCTGGTATTCCATCACTTGTTTTAGCTCGAGGTATATTTTAATGAAGAGAAAAAAAAGAAAAAAAAACAATTTTTCATTTCTTAATTTAGGTCATAGTATTGAAACTGTACCAGAAATACCATTGATTTTATCGGATAAAATTCAAGATTTAAAAAAAACTAAAGATGCTGTCGCTGTTTTACGTAAAATTGGTGCATGGTCCGATATTCTTAAAGTTTATGCATCAAAACATACACGTGCTGGTAAAGGAAAAATGCGTAATAGACGAACAGTAATGAAACGTGGTCCAGTGATTATTTATGATAAAGATAATGGTGTTAAAAAAGCTTTTCGTAATATTCCAGGTAAGAATATTATTTTTAAAATATAAAAATAAAATTTTAATCCTCTTATCTTGGGAGAACATTATTCATTTAATATAAAATGTATCTCCAAAAACTGAGAGGTATAGTAAAAAAAAACAAGAGATTGTTTACGTCTTCGGAAATATTTCTTTATCTATGAAATATTTCTTCTTCATTTTGAACAAACAAAGTTTAATTTTTGTAGTAGATAAAATTCTTTCATCTACAGTCATCATCACATACTTATTTTTCAGACAAATAAAAAAGTGCGATTTATTTACACTATAGAGTATTTTGCATCAGTGGCGAATCTAGGATTTTGCCAGAGTGAGGGGAGCTACTTGTTTTTTGAAGTAGTAAGAAGTATAGGCCAGCGCGAATGGAATTATCTTTGTGAGACTTCTATGTTGGTTAGAGAAAGGTTAGTAAGTTTTACGTGGCGTAATCGCTTTGAAACTTCAATCGCCGAATGGCTAGATCCGCCACTGTTTTGCATAGTCTATAAAATAAGAATTATTACATTTTATGTGTATCTTTTGTATGTATTGAGATTGCTTGGGAAAAAAAACAACGATTTGAAACAGAGAAAAGTTTTTTTTTGTTTTTTGCTCGATAGCCTAGAATTGATGATTGATCAGTTGAAAATGTTCTTTCGTAAATATGAATTGAAAAGATACCATTTAGATTTACTATTAATAAGAATTTCATTCTTTTTTTTTTTGGAAAATAGTAGTTTGGATAAGGATAAAATCTAAAGAAGACTATCAATGATTGTCCGTGCTTCTCTAAGAACGGACTCATGTATTTTCAAATTTCATAGGATAATATCTTTTATTTATTTTACAAAAATTGAATCTCTAAGTTATTGAATTCTTTAATATAAGAACAATATATGTTTGATATATCTCTGTTTCTAAATAGTTAATCAAAATCTATGTTTAATTTTAGGTGTATCTTTATTAAGTGTTGAACGATTAAATTTACTTCGTTTGGCACCAGGTGGTCATGTTGGTCGATTTGTTATTTGGACAGAATCAGCCTTTAAAAAACTTGATGCACTTTATGGTACATGGAGTAAAAAATCTCAACTTAAAGTTGATTTCAAGTAAGATATATTATGTATGACGTTTGTGTCTTGCCTCATCGATCCGCATTAGAGAATTTTAATCTTTTTTGTTTGTTTTTATAAATTTCAAAATGAGGCTATAATAAATATGACTTTCTACATTCCCGGAATATATCATATTCAATTGTGAAATATATTCCTATAATGTTGAGAAACAAATTATTATAACCAAAAGAAAACAAATGGTTTTGTTTATTTTAGTCTTCCACAACCAATGATGACAAATAGTGATTTAGGACGTTTACTTAAAGCATTTGAAATTCAAAGTGTACTTCGTGCACCAATGTATGTATAAAATATTTTTATTTTTTGATAAAAAAATAAAATAATATAATATAGAAAACGTCAAGCACGTCGTAAAGTAAAGAAGAATCCATTGAAGAATATTGGTTTAATGTCAAGACTTAATCCATATGCATCTGTACAAAAACGTCAAACACTTTTACAACAACTTAAAGGACGACGTACAGGCACAACAGTTGAATCAAAAGTATTTCATATTTTTTTTATGAATTTTCAATTTTTCAATTCTCTTTTAATATATATAGACTGCAGCTCGTAAATTACGTACTCATGCATCATTAAAAGCTAAACAATTATCAGGTGTTAATATAGTTAAAAAAACTAAACAACAACAAATTGGAAATACAACAATGAAAACAACAACAGCAACAAAAACAAAAACAACTGTATCAACAAAATCTTCGTAGAAAAATCAAAAAAAAAAAATATTTATCTTCTCTCTTTTCCGTTTTGTTTTGTTTTTATATAACATCATACACACTCGATATATATTTGTTGTTATTACCGATAGAGAAAAAAAAAAGAAATCGAAGAACAACAACAACAACAAGAATAAATTAAATAAATAAGAAGAAATAAATGAATGAAATATTTGAGATTGTTGAATTATTTTATTTAATTATACATATGATCAATGTTTTGATTGAACATAGTTATTTTAGGAAATCAATAATTTAAATTTTTTTTTCGATATTTTTATTTTCTACATATTATAATTTATAAATTAAATCATTTTAAATTTTATATTATTAATCGTAAATTAATTTGAAAATAGAAACACTATTGATATTTGCTTAGCATTGGATTGATCATCATCATGATGACTAATATTATTAACAATCTAGAAATATTTTCATTATCAATCAAACATTTGTTAACTACTTTGAATAGATTTAATCAGTTTTATTTATTTAAATTCTTTGAAATTTCAAAATCAGTTTATTAATATAAAGTACAGCAAGTTTAAATAACCTAAGAAGTAATATGTAGAATAATCAAGACAACTTGGTTTTTTTAGCTTTGATTGAGATTGTATGGTTCATAACCATTAACATGATCAACCGTATGTTTATCTTGAAGTGTCCTAACAGTTTGTTCGACTTGATCAAATGTTAAAATATCACGAGCATATTCTGAATGAATTTTATAACATGCAACAAGAAAACGAAGTTTTATATCTGATCTTGTTACAGATCGAAATGCTTAAGCTATATTATAATGAAGATGAGTACGTTCATCATTATTTAAACCTTGTAAATAAAATTCTCGTGCTTGAACATATTCGGCATCTGGTGGAAGTTGATTTTCATGACGTGAATGAGATTTTCGAGCTAAATATCCTTGTAATGGTTGAAGTTTTTCATTACATGTTAAATCAGGTCGAGTATAGAGTAGTTGAGTATATGAATTTTTGGTTCTACACCAACATTTGCATCACATCTTAATCGTCCATCTCGTGCTAATGGATGATATTGACGAGTCATAAAAGGACAATTAACTGAAACTTGATGAAAATTAACACCGTGTATCTCGATAAAGAAAACAGCGAAATAATAATAATGGATCTGGTCCTGGTTCAATGCCAGGTACTAAATTACCTATAAAGAGAAGATATCAAAATTGATAATTTTCTTATAAATTTACTAGGTGAAAAAGCAACTTGTTCAACATCTCGATGATAATTTTCTGAATTTCGATCTAAAACTAAACGTCCAAATTTCATAAATGGATATCGTTCTTCTGGTCAAATTTTCGTTGCATCAAATGGATCAAAATCAGTTATTTTATTAACTACACTTTCATCTATGATTTAAATTTGACATATAAATTCACATGTTTCACCATTATCCAAATGTTGCCAGAAATTACGTTTAGCATAATCTGGATATTCACCACACATACGTATTGCTTCAGCATCAGAAAAATTCTTAATATCTGCTACACAACTAAATTTATAACGTACATAAATATATTGATTTTGAGAATTAACCCATTTAAATGTATGACATGGATATGCATCCATATGATGTCAACCTTTAATTTAAAAGAATATTTTATTTTATTTTATTTTTTCAAATATTATAATATATCATTATTTTCTTCATCCGTATAAAATTTCATAGCAATACCACGTGAATTACGAACTGAATTAGGAAATTCTTGTCAATATGTTGTTGTTGAAAACCGTATCATAACTGATGTTGTTTTACCAACTTTTGATAAAAAATCAGCTTTACATAATGATGAAACATCATGTGTTACTTCAAAATAACCAAATGCTTCACTACCACATGCATGTACTGCACGTTCAACAATTTTTGATCGATTAAATGTTTGTTGTTTTTTAAATAATATACCATCAGATACAACTGGATAACCACCAATATGAAGACAATGAAACACATCACCAACACGATATCCATTAACAGATGTTAATGTTGGTGGTACATAATTATTTGATATTAAAGGACTTAAAACTGATGAAACTTTATCTAATAAACTTGTACTATGAGTATGTTTTTCACCTTCTTGATTCAACGTACTTTTAATAGGATAATCAAATTGACCAGATTGTGCATCAATAATAGTTGTTAAAGAACGTTTATCAACATTCACTGCAGTACCTTGTGCATCAGTCAAGATCTAAGGATAATCTCAACCAGCAATTCGTTTCATAATTGATGAACCACCTTTCATTTTTCTTCTAATAAAACTTTATCTATAAATAACTTGTGCGTTGGCTGAAGACCAGAATAGCTTTCTAAGCTTTCGTTGCTATATATATGTGTGTAGAAGCTTGATAACGACAATAGAGTACACGGCGAAAGAAATTGCAAAAAAACATATCGGCTCTCTATTTCTATCGTAACACAGTGGAAATAGGGAGTCAAAGGTGATTGCATACAGAACTGATAAGGGAACAATGCATTCAGAAACAAAGAAACTTTGATTAAATTTTTATCTTATTGTGTCACAAACAATATGTAAAGGTTTTGATTTCTATCACAAGCATTGTGAGTTAGTAAGAACTCAACATCTTATGACAAATCTATTTCTTCAAGTTCGTAATTATTCTGTAAAACAAAGCATATAAATTAGGTCTATAATGATTTATATTAAAAATAAAAACAAAGAGCTTGTTAGTGTAGCCTTTTTCGAGCTGAAACGTGGGTATCACATACGATTTCGTACATTAAAAACTGCTTTACTATTATTAGTGTACATATTAATACCTTAATTGTACACTCTTTCAAATGCTTGCTTTTCTCTTTTATTTTAAAACTTCAACCTATGTCTTTTATTATACTAATCTCGTCTTTTTACATGCATAACTACAAGTGACAATACGATTTACAAGATTGGCATATATATGCGATTTCTCTCAAAAACATACTCAATGACCTTTCAACGTCGATTAATAAGATCTGCAATAAAGAGAAGTACGAGCCGAAAAACTTTGAGTTCAAACTTAAACTTATTATTTTCTGCGAAAATATATGTAGATGCCATAAAACATTCATTTCTCATTCCAATAAAACATTAACCTAGTCCAAAGAATGAAATGTACATACTTATCTATATTTATATATGTGAATACTTCATGAGAGTTTAATTGCTTTATACAAAGCTGAGTATATTTTTCTACTAAGAGTGGATAAGTATAAGATATTTTGTTGCAATACTGTTTCAAAATGGTCTTATCATACCAAGTGTGATATTAAAATCTAAAGCATGATATAACTACTATTGCTTCTTTAAGATTATATTTCGCAAAGAATTGGTTTCAACTATCCCAGCATATCAACTAGAGGTAGCTCAAAGTTATAAGATTTTCATACTTATCATAAACGACAAAAATGATACAAATTTTTAAAACTATTTTTCTTATCATTCTGAATCCAAAAAAAAGCAATCTGATAACTGAAAAAACTCTCTTTTCTTATTCATAATCGTTTATATATCTACAAACAAATTAAAATTTTCAAAGCAATATATGTTCTATTTCTTTAGTAACTCAAAGAAAACTTTGGTTGTATCACTTATTGAGAAAAACTTTTTTTTTTCATACCAAGTTTATCATTTAGTTGGACTTCTCTATATGATTCTAAGATTATACGATATTGACCCGTATCTTAACTAAATTTTTACGATTATTCAATCGTCATAGTCAAACTTACTCTATTAAATTTGTATAAAAAATAGAAAAAAACATGAGACTTGAAATATTCACTCTCAATATTTTACGCAAGCTGTTTAACAGCAAAAAATGAATATAAATTATTCATAATTTTTATTACTGATTTCATTTCATGTAAAGAAAAATTGCCTATTTTTATTCTTCTTGAATAAAAAAAAACAATCTTTTAAAGATTATCTTTTGAACAAATAGCCAATTTATTTCTCTAAGAGTTTCAAATGCTATTTGAAATATTATTCTTCATGGAAAACATTAGACCAATTGACATAGATATGAGAGAAAAAGTCAAAAAAAAAAAATCTCAGCTTGTTTTACTACGTACAATTAAGATCATAAATCAATGGTAGACCAATTAATATGTGTGACGAATAACAATATCGACCACTGTATGGTTGATACATGTGGGTGTGTAATTGCATTTATTAGACAACGAACGATAATTGATCAGGGTGATGCCATTTGTATAGAGTAACGAGAAAAAAAATTAGAGTTTGTATGTATACAGATTAATTAAATTTAATATAAAATATAACAAAAACTAGATCTTGGATTTCTTTACTAGCTATGCTATACTAATAGATTTTATTTTATGAGCTGAATGATGAATAGGAAAAAAACACTTTTTTTTTTCTGAACAGTCAAATCAATTAGAACTTATCTTCAAATCATTGATCTCATAGAGAATGAAAATCTTTATATACAAAACAAAGAGAATTGTAGAGTAAAACCTTAAAAATTGAATTCAACTTTTACAAAATTTAAATAATTTGTATTCTAAATTGACTTTAATAATTTCGATCGATAATTAATTCTCAGCTATTGACATTTTCTTAATAAAAATAATTTTGAATACATTTCAACAATTTTCACTCAGTATACAGACGTTCATAAACATGATGCATGTCAAAGACTGTTTAATTTTCGATGATTTTTTAAAATTGTTCATAATATTCTTTGATATTAATTATACTAACTACTGTATTTCAAAAATTCAAGTACTGCTCTCCAGGTATCTATAACCAGATTATATTTTTGTAGTTAAATTTTCTTTTTGCATTTTTAGCAATATGCGGAGTTAGTAGCAAAATTTAAAGGGATGCCGAGAACCAGAATTCCTACGAGAAAAAAGTTCTCCGAACCGAAACTGAAAATCATAGTTTTAATATTCTATTGTATTAACTAAATTATCTTATACATCATAGTCGTCGATTACACAGATAAAAAAAAACAAGTATTGAAGACTTTATTTAGATATAATACGAAAGAAATATAGTACCGTTTCTTCTATACTGGAGATGAGAAAACTTAGCGTGACATGTTTATTATCATTTCTCTACTTAGAAAAAAAAAATAAGACTCTTTTGATAGTAGAGAGAAAAGAGAATGGTTTATGCAGTAATTTTCATTGTCTGTTAATTAAACAGAGAGAAGAAGAAAAAAAAAATAGAATTATTCTTATTGGTTAATAAGAGCGAAAAAACGTAAAATAAATGTTGCATACATTTGTCAGAATTCACAATTTTAATTCTCTCACTTTTGTGTGACTTGAAAAATAAATTAAAATGCAGTACATAGGACAGGTAAGTTGATTAAAATATTTTTGTCTACTTTTACATTAAATTTCACACATACTCTTATTTGTAGTATGAACATGATCAAATTCAATATTATAATCAAGAAAATATTAGTATTACTTTACATAATCAAAATTTATGGAAACAATTTCATGAAATAACTAATGAAATGATGTAAGTAATTATTTGTTTGTAATCAACTATATATTTTATTTATAAGAGAGTTTTAGTGTTACAAAAGTTGGTCGTCGGATGTTTCCAATAATATCAATAATTATTCGGGGTTTAGATCCTGAAAAAATGTATACTATAGAATTATCATTTGATCAAATTGATTCTCATCGTTGGCGTTATGTTAGTAGTAAATGGCAACCAGGTATGAAACCTGAATTACAAATTCAACGTTTACTTTATCAACATCCTGATTCACCAAATTATGGTCGAAAATGGATGAACGATATAATAACATTTCCTAAAGTTAAATTAACAAATAAAATTGATCCAACTAGAACATCTCAGGTAAATTAAAAGAAAAAATGTAAATAAGATGAAAAAAAAAATTTTTTTTTTTTTTTGTAGGTTTTACTTAATTCACTTCATAAATATAAACCAAAAATTTCTATTATTGATATTCTATTAAAAAAGACAATCTATGAAACAAGTTTTGATGAAACGGAATTTATTGCTGTGACAGCTTATCAAAATGAAGAAGTAAGACTTTTTTTGTTTGATTGAATGTTTTCTATCGATAAACATTTTCGTTTATTTCAGGTCAGAGCATTAAAAATAAGACATAATCCATTTGCAAAAGCATTTCTTGACATTGATAATACTAAAAGGTAAAAAAAAAACTGACAATGATAAATTATTATTTATAAGTTAAATAATATTGTTCTTGTAGAGAAATGGCAGAAGAACAAGACAGTCATGTTCCAATGTTTTATTCACAAGAATCATCATCAGGAGGACCAGATCGACTTAAAGTTCAATCATATCGATCAACACCTTATAGTCATTCTCATTCGCAACGAAAATCATCACCAACGAATGGTATGATTGAATTTCATTTTCTATACTATTCTTGTTTCAAATGAAATTAGTGATAATGTTGAAAATTGACTCCGCATCAGATATGAATGATGGAAAAACTAAAATGGAAAGAAAATTTCTAGATGATAAAATTTACGAATAATATGTAAATGTCTCCCTTGATCATTAAGTTCATGTAGAAAAATGTACTATTTAACTGTTAGATAGAATTTTATAGTTTTGAAAATGTCTGAGAATTTTGTATATCAAATTGAAAAACAAATATCCCATTTGAATCACTAGGATGAATAAACTCCTGCCTCGATGCTTTTCTGACTTATCTCAGTTCGGTAGGTTGAGAGCAGTGGTCTTAAGAAAAACTCTTATAAACATTGACTAGATCGAAAGTGAATGATTATTTCTATCTATCAATCATATTCAAAAAACAAGGTCGAATGAAAGATGAATCCATAATATCATTTTTAAAGTGTTCATCATGAATTAATCAGGATTTATGCAGTCTCCCATCTATGAAATATCAGCACGAGTTTAACTAGTTGATTCTTTTGTTGGTAATGTTGAAAACATCAATTCTTTTTTTTTTGTTTCGACCTGAATGGGAGTATATTACAAAAAAAGCTATCTGATTTTTCTTTATAATTGAAGTGAAATACTTTCAGTCTAATGTCGATAGTGGATCAGAGTGTCAATGATTTTGATTTTTTTTAGTTTTTGCATATCCATCATCGTCAACTTCACCGTTTGATTTATCAACATTCTATCCTCCAATACCATCAACTAATATTCCATGCTCATCATCATCATCGCCTCCATTATCGGATGGTACTACTTATTATTCGAATCCATATTATCCATCACCATCTCCATATTATTTTCCATATGCATCATCATCATCATCATCGATAGGTCATTATCCATTTATTACTCCTTTCAATTATCCTTTAAATAATAGTTTAAATCAAGAAACAACATCATTTTTACAGATGCAACCACCGATGTCTATTTCATCAACTGATAATAATTATTTGACTACATCATCATCAGTAAAACATAATATTGAACACTATTAAATAAACTCGTCTATGTTTATGTGTGTAAAAACTATTTTCATTAGAATTTCGAAATAAAAGAAAAATAATTTTTCATCGTATGATACAAGAAGATGATTGATTAATTAAGAATGAATCTGATGAAAAGAGAATAGAATATGAATTGACTGAACTACTGCCCTTGTTAGATATTAATGTAATATCAGGATATTTTAATATAAGTTCCAAGGATACTGTGTCTATTATATATAAAAGTGTTCATCATAGTATGGAGTGAAGTAATGAAAAAGCTGTTTGTACAAAATCTTTGAGACTAACATATGGAACATAATTTAGCTGCTGTTGCTAATCGGA